CAACATTTCCATATTAACAATAAATTCGAGATTGACAACTATATAAATGAACTAACAAGGAATTATTCTACATATGGTTATTGTTATTATTTACTATGTCAACATGGCTGGATTTACCAACCCCCTGGCAATAATGGCTAAATGCATTTACAATACACATAACAGCTGATATAATGCTAATAATTACCAAACATTCTGTTCCTGATTAAAATACTCCCTAACAACTGAGATAAACTGAACCGCTCAAAGCGGATGTTTACACATGGGTGCAGCCATCTTGAATCCCTAGTTTAGGGGAGACAACTCGTTCCAGCTTATCTTTCCAACTAGCAATATAAACTTATCTTCAAATTTACAACGATTTGTTAATTCCCTTACAAACAACAAATTTCATAACAAACTCTAGCATTAATCTGTAACCATAAGTAAGGTTTATTTAACGAATACACTCTGTTTACACATCTTGAAGGTCACGCTGTACGTGAACTCACTGTCCCTGACATTACGCGCTTTGACCTGAGTTTACCTAACCAATTCCAGTTTTACCACACTTTCTACAAGCTTGATATATACATATATGGAATCTAGGAATGGTAAACACAATTAACACTTTAATATTTATGGGATAATTACCTGCACGAAGAGAGAAACAACAAAACGAGTTGAGCGTCACTCAAGTTTACTACTGCAACCATGGCCGGGTTCGCGGTAACCAGGATGGGAATCCTGTAGACGTAACACCATATAAGGCGGCAGGTTGCTGAGAGTTACTTCCTTTGGCCATGTACGAAGACCAATGACACTTCCGCTGCCGTAACAGAGTGACAAAACCACAAATACAAAGATTTTTGGGGTCCCCTTTAATTGTCCTAATAAAAAGGAGGCGATTACCACATGTTACGTTTTACTTAATTTAAGGTTCAGCCGACTACAAAAGAAATGCTCAAAACCAATTACATGTGCATGGATATCGGATGAGGTTGCTGTGGTTACACGTGACTTTGCATGACGTTAAACAACGCAAGCATGGGAATATATACTGAACATCATTGAAAACGTACCAGTCGAAAATTGTCGATATTTTCATCAAGATGGATTTCAGCATGACAATGATCAATGAATATAACTAACATGAAGTCGAAGGGCATGTCCAGTTGAAAAATTCCTTTAGAAACAAATTCCTGTCCACAGTATGACTCTTAATTCCAAAATGCATCAACATGCAGCCACGCCATGAAAAAAGCGCGAATTTCATTCTGAAATCATACTGACTGTGACATTAAAAGCAGGTGTATGAGAACCGATTATCATTGCTTCACTAACGATTGTGAAACGAGGACAGAGATGCCGAGGTTAACATCTCACGAAAGAGAACGTGCACTAGGCATGATTCAGGTTGGCACCAGCAGCAGGGATATTGCTCGACAACTTAGACTTGGCCACTCTACCATCGTTAGGCTTCATAGACGACATCAATAGACAGGCAGCACCCGTGACCTTCAATGGCCTTGGCAACAACGTGTTACGACGCTCCATCAGGATCGCCATATTGACCTTGTCCATATCAGTGATTGAACACTGCCGACTGCCAGGACTGCTGCACTAGTTCAAGGGTGACGTGGGGGTCATCAGCGACTCCATGCGACGCCGTCTACACGCTACAGGACTCCATGCTCGACGTCCTTACGTTGGACCAATTCTGACTGACAGACACCGTAATGAGCGTATACAATGGGCTAGCATGCATTTTCAGTAAAGGTTACAACAATGGCATGGTGTGGTAGTCACGTCTTCATCTACGTAATGCTGACGGCCAATTGCGTGTTTGGCGTAGACGTGGTGAACGTTATGCTGATGAGTGTGTGGTTCAGACAGACCTTGGGTGGTGGGAGTGTCATCGTCTGGGGTGGAATAAATTACAATCACAGGACTGCCTTCATTTCTGTCAAGGGAGAGTTAATGCCCTTTATTACCATGAGCAGATTCTTCAGAATCACATCGTATCTGTCTTCAATCACCACCAAGATGTCCATACTTTTCAACAGGACAACGCACGGGCACACACAACAAGACTTCCCATGCAGTATCTGGCCCAGCAACACATTCAGGTTATTCAATGGCCAGCACAGTCGCCAGATGTATCCCCCACGGAGCACTTGTGGGACGAAATTGGTCAACGTTTTTCGCGGCGACAACAGATGCGAAACATCCGGGAACTTGAGGCTGCACTACTGCAGAAGTGGAATGCCATCCTCAAGAACTCTATTTGGACGCTTATTGACTCAATGAGGAGACGTTGAACTGCATGTATCAATGCAAATGGCGGTCACACGCGATATTGACTTTTCGATTTGACCCCACGTGTGTTTGATCCTTTCTGACTGTGGAACATTTCAATGAATGAGCGTCTTTTCTGTGTTGTTGTTTTTGTCAGTCGTCCATCTGTTATTATCCACTCAAGAAATATCAATTCCTTAAACGTGCTTTTAATAATTTGAACTTTTATCAGTGGTGCGTTTTCAATGATGTTCAGTATATTTATTTTCTAGATAATAGACACGCATCAGGACAATATGTTTTTGGTAATTTCGATAATGACAGACAGACAAGTGTTTATTTGCTTCAAAGACTTGGACTAACCGTCCCTCGTCTGTTTTCTACAGAAATGTACATTTGTGCCAGGCAATGGAGGCTGGGCTTATTATTTATACAAACACAGTTTAATATACTTAGCCAAATACAACAATGGAAGTTTAGATTTACACTGCAACAAATCCTCTGGTTTCGTGGTTGAAAATGTAAACACCTCAAAGTATACTAGGCGCCATTAATAAAGGGTCAAATGATATATAGCATATGTAAAGAAAAGTTTCTAAAAAAAAGTATAACTAAGAGTGTCATCATAATGTTTAATGTGTTGACAAAACGTGACACATGGTGACGATGCAGACGAAAAGTTCAAACAGCACTAGCAAACATCAGTTGTGTATAATAGACCAACCCCTAAATGAAAAATGACAAAATGAAGCAATCGGTCATTCAATATCTTGTGTATCCTCCTCGCGCGTCCAAGACACAGGTGCACCTTGTTCTCATGCTCCTTATCAAGTTCATAAAAAAGCTTGCGGAATCGCATTCCATTCTTCTAGTAGAGCTCTGCGGAGTCCTTGGGGATCCACTTGTGCTGGGTGACGTGTGTACACACGTCGACCTAGTTCATCCCAGGCATGCTCAAGTGGGTTGAGGTCTGGCGAGCATGCTGGTCACTCATCCGCTCCACCCTCCTGCCTAAGGAATTCCGTGACAATCCTGGCCCTATGAGACCTAGCGTTGTCGTCTTGCAGTACAGAGGGTCGACCATAAAAGCCATGCATAGCTTGCAGGAATGGTACTGCTATACGAGCCAGATTATCGTCCCTGTCCGGAAAGATTACCGTCGACCACATAGAGTACGTCCATTAGGAGTTATCTGTGTCCAAATCATGACCGACCCTCGTAAAATGGGATACGCGTGGCCACAGCTGCATCTGTGATTCGCTCTCTATTGCGACGATAAATCCTCTGCCGACCATCATGGAAGGACAGATTGAATCTGCTTTCATCTGTGAAGAGCACACGAGATCATTGACGTTGATTCCAGCGGCCATGATGTCTACTCCATCTCAAACGCGCCTGCCTGTGACGTGGTGTTAGTGGTGGACGAACTGCAGGTCGCCTACAGCGGAGTCCGGCTGCCCTTAAACGTCGACGAACGTTCCTGGATATCCTACATCGTTAACATTTTAAATATTTTGTCTGAAGATCTGCTGCGTTAAGGAATCTGTTACGCAACGCAGTGTTAATCATGTGCCTATCATCTCGGACTGTTGTGACTCTGGGGTGACCTGGTCGACGTGCATATTCCACGGACCCATTGACTTGAAGTCTCTGTCACAGTCTACCAATAGTACTCTGACTCACATTAAAGCGGACAGCAACCTGCCGCTGAGTTTGATTCCAAAGGCCTGTAGCCTGACCCCATTCAGCGAGTGTCAAAAACGTCTCATTTTCAGCTGCTATTTCAAACATGCATCTTAACAGTGAACGACAGTGAAAAGCATCAATACATGTGTATATATTGTCTTGCACTTTCCATGGATAGAGCGACTTGCACGTGCAAATCATTGACATTAAGTGGCAGGTGGATTTCCATATTGACAGTTTGAATAGAACATGTGCCATTTGTAACAGAATGTATCGGACGTTAAAGAACGTAATAATGACATTCCAATGGCCTGATGTTTATTTTCCATATTAAGAAAGTTTTAAAAGCATTCAGTTTATATACTTCAAAACAAAAACGAAGACTGTACAACTTTTGAGAAATAATGCTACCAATAGCTTGACCCTTGACCAATAGCTTATTGATGACGCCGAGTATGTTATTGATGTACCCTGCGGTGCTGTGAAGGTGCTTTGATACAAAATTTAAGTTGCATACAATTGAATGAAAAATGCTTTAATTCTGGTGGGAAAGCACCTTAAAATGTCATCAAAGTGAAGAACCAATAGCCAAAATGTATTAATCCTAAAAGAGTTTAGTGTTGTGTTGCATTTGCATTTCATTGTTCTCTTGACTTCAATGTATACATAAAGTCACCAACTTGAAGTGGCGATGGGTAGCCTAGTGGTTAAAGTGGTCGCTTGTCACGCCGAAGACCTTGGTTCGAATTCCCACATAGGTACAATGTGTGAAGCCCATTTCTGGTTTCCCCCACATATATTGTTGGAATATTGCTAAATGCGGCGTAAAACTAAACTCACTCACTCAACTGGAAACGAGAATGCTTAATTATTTTGTGAGAATTTGTCATGCATTATATTATATTTTTTGGCCTTCTCAGAACCAAACAGAAGCCGACGAAAAACAATATCAATTTACTGTGTGATAGTATAGGCGTTATCATAGCTTTCCCACGTGGGATGAGAGAGATGGTAAAAGTTGGGATTGTGTTTCTCAGGAAGTTTTCAAGCTGACGGTCATGGATCTCATTTTCACCATGGGGCAAATCATCATCATCGACTTCATTCGCGGCGTCTTCATCCGCTACTGCAACAATATCTGCTGCTGGGACATGGAGAAGAAGTTTGTAAGTGTTGATATATGCATGTACAGCTTAAAGAAGTTAATGGACATCCGATTCAATCATGGACTATAATAAACCGTTCGTGATGACACAGTACAGTCCGTTTGAGACAAAATGATACCGATGAATTCCAATCTAACACAAAACAAATAGAATCAAACCAAAGCGGAGTGCAATAAAAACAACAGACCAACTCTAGAAAAATTTGCATAATTTGTGACACAAAAAAATAAAAGGTTGTTTAAGAAACTGTCATAATTTATTTGTGCATTTTCCAAGTTTGTTACAAGGGCGTAGTGGCAACTAAAGGAAAAGCGAGATTCACGCGCATTAGTGATGTCAGAGACGTGTGATTACTGCTGATTGACAAAGTGAGAGAAAATGAAAGTCTATAATTTACAAAGTCTATGATTTCTTCACGGATGAAAATGACGGGGGTGACCCAAGTATGCAATTACTAAGTTCATACAGTGCACTGCCTGTGCAGCTGGGGTACGTGTCATCTCGCCAGCTAAATTTTTGTTGAGAACCAGTAGTATAGGGAATGGGGTTCTGTGACAGGCCGATTAAGAGCGTCATTATATATCTATTCCGCTTCCAGCCCCCAGTATAAATTAACGAATTCGAGCAGAGACACCATTCGATGCACACCCCAGACCCCTATAGGAGCCTTAAAATCTGTAGGGTACCATGAATTTCGGCAACCCCCGGGCGGGAACGAGGACTGCAAACCGCAGATGCTAAGCAGCCACCTGTTCCCCCTCAGTCATAGAATGGGATTCTGTGACAGGCCAACTAAGAGTGTCATTATATACCAATTCCGCTTTGAGCAGAGACACCATTCGATGTTCAGCCCATGCACCTCTACGATTTCAAGCAGTGACACCATTCGGTGTACAACGCAGACCCCCGGCATGCACCTCTACGATTTCGAGCAGAGGCACCATTCGATGTACAGCCCATGCACCTCTACGATTTTGACCAGAGACATTGTTCGATATACATCCCAGACCCCTGACATGCACCTCTACGACTTCGAGCAGAGACATCATTCGATGTACACCACACGAGCCGACATCACCGCAGTTTTCTCCACACGAGCCTCCCCAAGCATTCGTAGAAGTCCTGGACGGGGAGAACAGTCGGCTCTGCAGCGGGCAATACGCTCTCGCTAGCGGGCAATACGCTGCCGGCAGACGCCTCGCTAGTGGCTGCGTCTGTGCTGGGGGTCGACGCTTTCCCTCCAGGGGCTGTATTCCATATTTTGCGTAGTCGATTGGAACCGATGCCGAATCGTTGTCTAGTTTCTTGTGCTGGGGCTTTTCCACGCAGCTTGCGAATCTCCTCCACTTGGGCTTGCGATAGTTGTCGTTTTGGGGGCATTTGGTTGTACTATATATCTACAGTTGCAACAAATTGTCTATATGGGAATCTAGGGCACACTAGACATACTAGGGTACACTAGACAGAACCTAGAAGTTTGCTTGTTTTGCTAAGTATTGCTAAGCATTGCTAAGCATTTGCTAAGCATTTGCTAAGTATTGCTAAGCATTGCTAAGCATTGCTAAGCATTTGATAAGCATTGCTAGGAGTTTCCTGGGAAAGGTTGGGATTCCTTGGGAGGATTGGGATTCCTGGGAGGATTGGGATTACTGGGAGAGGATTGGGATTCCTGGGAGAGGATTGGGATCCCCATATAGGTATATAGGAAGTATGGATATATATATGCCCAGGAAAAACAACCATGCCACCAAAAAGAGATTTACCTTCGGATAAGATCCAAGAAATACGCTCCCTTCGAGGGGTGCTCCCAGCAAGCGAGGTCAAAAAGCGCTTCGGTATTGGGTCCACAAGACTCTACGACATATGGAGAGATCCGATCGAAGAACCAGAAGTATCGTTGCCAGTCGATGACCCACAAGTATCGTTGCCGGTCGACGAACCACAAAAGGTGACTCGGGATAGATCGAAAGTAACAATACCTGGTAGTACGTTACCAACCATCCAGGACTTCTACGATCGCCTGGGGGAGTCTCGAGACTCATGTGGAGCAAACCGCGAATACATCATCGAATTTGTTGGTTGACATCCTGTCGAGGTTGGACAAGGATGATGACAATGATGAAGTCCTGGAGGAAATAGAAGAGGAACAAGAAGATACCCGTCTGGGTATCCAGAAGGTGCGGGAGATGGTAGAATCAGCCCAAAGGTTAACCTATGTTTCGATAGCTGCCGTATTACTCTGGAAGGTCATCCACAAGACCTGGAAGCATAGCAAACCAGTTTCCCCAGCAACACCCAAGCCCCAAACCCCGGACCCCTTCCGCATGTAGTAACATTCATTTAGACATTTGACTCCGCATAAGGTATACAACATGTGGCCCGTGGGAACCCATTATTGCAAATGGGTATTGCTCGGCAAGCCGGCAACCTGCGGCAAACGCTGTATGACTGAATATTGCCACTCACATGCCCACTGTGTGAGAAAGGGTCATGTCAATTACGTATGCAAAGTATGCGGCATAGGGGTCAAAGGACATTATGGGTTGTGCAAAGACCATGGGAGGGACGTAGTTCGAAACCAACTTATTTACAATAAGAAGAAAGACTACCTCAACGAACGTAACCGGCTGCTCAGGACGAAAGTTTAAGGGGTGATTCATATTTTTTTGAAGGCTGACGGGATTATCTGCACATTGAAAACACCCTATTAGACATGTGGCTCCGCATATGGTATACACCATGACTACTGTCATCGAACTCAAAGCTCTCGCCAAAAGTCGTGGACTGACGGGTTATTCCCGCCTTAGGAAACCCCAACTGCTCACCTTGCTCGAAATGAAATATACCAAGCCCCCTACCGTGCGAGACCTCAAACTCCGAGCTAAAGAACGGGGATTGAAGGGTTATTCCCGCATGAGAAGAGCCGAGCTGATCACCTTGCTGGAAGACACCAGGCCAGTCGAGTTGAGATTCGTGCCAACAGAGCACGCCGTGGGTAAGTATCTCCGGGGTTGGATAATGACGGTTGATTCCAATATTGATACCGGTACAGTCAAACCCCCCATTGCTAGTAAACTCCGCGAAGAACTAGGCGACTTGAAAAGCATCAAGTACCAACTAACGATGAAAATGGAGCTCCAAAAGCAGAATACGGACGGTAGTACTGAGTACGTTGCACCCTATTTCAGAGGTAAACAGGAAGCCCTAACCCAACCAGAATTGATTGAATCCTCCATCGACGCGTCGTTGCAGAAAATACAAGAGTCGTTGGAGAGATATACCCACCTGGGCTCTGGATGGGTGGTAGACAAAATCAACACCATTTATCTCGACATAGCGAACTACATGCCACTCAAAGGTGGGACGCACATACCAGTGCCCAAGCATTTCAAGGTCAAAAAGGCCCTCGTTAACCTCAAAACCCAAGGCGGCGATGTTAATGATTACTGTGCGGTGGTGGCGGTCATAGCTGCTACGCATGAACCAAGGGGTAATCCGGGCAGGCGTTCCAGCTATCCATCGATCGAAGAATCCAGGTTCGACTTCACGGGTGTAGAACGCTTAACACCCATCTCTTACTGGACGCAATTCGAAAAGCAAAACAAGGTGGCCATCAATGTGTTCGGCCACGAAGGCGACAAAACCATCGTGCATAGGATAAGCCCTGTGGATGATAAAACCGTGCGTAGAACCAATATATTCCTCATCGAAAAAGACGGCCAGTATCACTACACGGCAATAAAAAATCTGAGCCGACTGTTGCACGATCAATCGATGCACAGAGAAAAGAAACACTTCTGCGAACGATGTCTGCACGGTTTTACGCGAGCCGACCTGCTGCAAGCGCACCAGGGGGATTGCCTAGGTGTAGGAGAGACGGCGATCCGAATTGACATGCCTAAGGAAGGCGACAACATCTTGAAATTCACCAACCACAAACATCAGATGCCTGTGCCTTACATGATCTATGCAGACTTCGAAGCCCTCATCAAACGGGTCGACCACGACGTGCCCAACACTGAGCAAAGTTTTACGTGCAAGACCCAAGAACACCAAGCCTGCGGGTTCGGGTATGTGGTCGTCCGATGCGATGGACAAACGAATGCTCCAGTCATCTACCGAGGTCCTGGCGCGGCCGAACGATTCCTGATGTGTTTGCAACAGGAAGAGAAAATCATCAGGAAAAGGCTGTACACCGCTGCCCCATGCGCATGACGCCGAAGGACCAAGTCGCCCACAAGCGTGCTGAGAATTGCCATATATGTCAGGGGCCGCTGAATGGGGATGTTGTGAGAGATCACTGCCACATCACCGGCCGGTACCGAGGTGCCGCCCATAACGCGCGTGCAACCTCCAGCTTAGAATCAACCCTAAAACAATCAACATCCCCGTGGTCTTCCACAATCTGAGAGGGTACGATGCCCACCTGATCATGCAGGCCATCTCGAAGGTCGACGGTGATATCAAGTGCATCCCCAACAACATGGAAAAATACATCTCGTTCTCGCTCAACGGTCTGAGATTCATTGACAGCGCTCAGTTCCTCCTGTCATCGCTCGATAGCTTGGTCAAAGCCAATGACACCTTCCCCATCACTGGTCGATACACCAATGTCGAGACTCGGCCCCTGCTGATGAGGAAGGGTGTGTACCCATACGAGTACATGGATGATTGGTCTAAGTTCGATGAGACCCGATTACCTCCCATCGGTCGATTTTACAGCAGCCTGACCGAATCCCATATCTCCCAAGACGATTACGACCACGCGCAGAACGTGTGGGGGAAACTGGGATGTAAGAATCTGGGTGACTACCACGACCTGTACTTGAGAACGGACGTGCTCCTGCTAGCCGATGTGTTCGAGACATTTAGGAGGACATGTTTGAAACAGTATCAACTCGACCCTGCATGGTACTACACCAGCCCCGGTCTATCGTGGGATGCGCTGCTGAAGAAAACCGGAGTTAAGCTGGAATTGCTCACGGATTACGACATGCACCTGTTCATCGAAAAAGGATTGCGAGGTGGGATCTCCATGGCCGCCAAACGGTACGCAAGAGCCAACAATAAGTACGTGGAAGGCTACGACTCTAGCAAGCCCACCAATCATCTCCTCTACCTCGACGCCAACAACCTGTACGGTTGGGCTATGAGTCAGTCTCTGCCTACTGGTGGGTTTGAGTGGTTGAATGATGAGATCGATATCACGAGCATCGCGCCAGATTCGGGGAAGGGTTACATCCTCGAAGTGGATCTGGAGTATCCCGAGGCATTACACGCTGCTCACAACAGCTACCCGCTGGCCCCCGAACGGTTGATGGTCTGCCGAGACTGGATGTCCGACTATCAGCGGGACTTGTTGGGTGAGAACACCCTGGCTCGGGTGGAAAAACTCGTTCCGAACTTGATGAACAAGACCAAGTACGTCGTGCACTATCGCAACCTGCAGCTGTACCTATCGTTGGGTATGAAACTGACCAAAATTCATAGGGTGCTGAAGTTTGACCAAAGTCCTTGGATGGAGCCCTACATCAGAATGAACACGGACCTGCGAAAGCTGGCCACCAGTGACTTCGAGAAGAACTTGTATAAGCTCATGAACAACTCGGTGTTTGGTAAGACGATGGAGAACCTGAGAAAACGGGTGACGGTCAAACTCGTGCGATCGCACCAGGAGGAAAAGCTCAGGAAGCTGATCGCTAGCCCGGCCTTCAACAGAAGCAAGCTATTCGATAACGACTTGGCGGCGCTGCACATGAACAAAAGTCACATCAAGCTCAACCGACCCGTCTACGTGGGGATGAGCATTCTCGACCTGTCCAAACATCTCATGTATGATTTCTACTACAACCAGCTCAAGAAGCAATACGGTGATCGATGCGAGCTGCTGTACACGGACACGGATTCCTTGTTGCTGGATATACACACCGAGGACGTGTACAAGGACATGGCAAAACACATACACCTGTACGACACCAGCGATTACCCTAAGGACCATGCCCTACACAGCACGATCAACAAAAAGGTCCTCGGCAAGATGAAGGACGAATGCGCGGGCACACCCATTGCCGAATACGTCGGCTTGAGGCCTAAGATGTACTCCATCTTGAAAGCTGACAAGGGTGAGATCCGAAAGGCAAAGGGGGTCAAGAAATACGTGGTGAAACAACACATCAAGCACGTCCTCTTCAAACAAGCTCTGTTCAAGAATAAGACATTCAAACACCGAATGAATGCGTTGAGAAGCGACAAACACAACATCTACGGCATCACCATCAACAAGACGTCACTGTCGCCCATGGACACCAAACGGTGGATCGCCGCCGACGGCGTCACGACTTACGCGTATGGGCACACGCTCATAAACCACTGAGTGGTTGGCCTGGGCTGTGCATCGAATGGTGTCTCTGCTCAAAGCGGAATTGGTATATAATGACACTCTTAGTTGGCCTGTCACAGAATCCCATTCTATGACCGGGGGTAACTGGTGGCTGCTTAGCATCCGGCACCGTCTGCGGCTTGGGGACGTATTGCAGTCCTCGTTCCCGCCCGGGGGTTGCCGAAACTCATGGTACCCTACAGATTTTAAGGCTCCTATAGGGGTCTGGGATGTGCATCGAATGGTGTCTCTGCTCGAAATTGTTAATTTATACTGGGGGCTGGAAGCGGAATAGATATATAATGACGCTCTTAATCGGCCTGTCACAGAACCCCCATTCCCTATACTACTTCCCGCTGTTCCTTTAGTTGCCACTGCGCCCTTGTAACAAAATGGGAAAACGCACAAATAAATGATGACAGTTTCTTAGACAACTTTTTATTATGCAATTTTTTCTAGAGTTGGTCTGTTGTTTTATTGCACTCCGCTTTGGTTTGATTCTTTTATGTCTATTTGTTTTATGTTAGATTGCAATTCATCGGTATATCATTTTGTCTCAAACGGACTGTACTGTAACGTATAAAAGAATCGGGTGTTGATTTCTTTGGAGTGGTTTACAAGGGTGCTGTTTGATAAGCATTTGAGCCTGTCCTCTATTTCAGATTATAAAAAAATTGAATTAAAAATAAAATTACCTCGGCAGATGTGAGAATGTACGAATCGTCCTATACAGAAGCCATTACATTCGCTCGCTGCTTGTAATGATTCAATTTCATATTTGACATAATAATCTAAAGTAATTCTTATGGAGGATCATGTTAGAATTGCTCTTCAGCAACCCGTGTTTGTGAGAGGCGACTAACGGGATCGGGCCACCCTATCCCAACAGCGTAGATCGATGCTTATGATGTCAGTCACTGGATTGTCTGGTCCAGACTCGATTATTTATCGACCACTGTCATATAGCTGGAATATTGCTCAGTGCGGCGTTAAACAATAATCAAATATTTTTAAAGTAGGCATTTATTGTTTTTCAGTTTTCTTTACTATTTTATGAACTGTCCTACCATCCTCGATTATCCAGCTTATTGTATCTTCGTTCTATTATTATTCGCTGGATAATTGAGGAAACCGTCACTCAGAGTATTCTATTTATTTTACATATTTTCCCTTGAAGGCAGCAATAGAAAATTCACTGTACTCAACATTCTGTAAACTTCGAAGTCCACGAGTTTTTTGTGTTTTTCAGCCAGAATATCCGGACTTTAAGACGGCCGAGAACCTTCTTCACTTGATTAACAACCAAGGAGTAATATGGTACGTCTGACCACACTTATTGTCTAGTGGCACAGTGATCAAAGAAGTGTTCGCTCGTCATCCAGGTCCGATTCTGTTAAAATGAATAAAATGCGATATGCATGTTTTCGTATCACCAGAAAGGGTCGGTTGAATATAAGCAGCTTAAAACTCAAATTAATTAATTTGAGGAAAAAACAAAACGGTTTTGGCTTTTTCGGTTTCGATGAAAATCAGAATGACTTATGTTTTCAAACTTACTCATTTAATGGGTGAAACGGTGTTTCTCTATATTGACTGCTAGTCACATAAATCTAACGAGACAGACCGAGAAGTCGGATTATATATGAAAATTACACAGTTTTGATTGTGAATTATTTCTCCACCCTTTGAATGAAGTTTGGCAATTTGCTCTTCCAGGCTCGGTACTTTCTTTGCGCCCGGACTTCCGGTTTTGAACATGTTCAAGCTGATGATCATGGTGTATGTCCGTTGTTGGTCAGTCATGGTGTGTAATGTACCGCAGGAGCGGATATTCCGAGCCTCGCGTTCCAACAACTTCTACTACGCACTACTTCTCGTCATGTTGTTTCTGTGTATGCTTCCGCCGTTGTTCGCTATCGTGGGCGTGGAGCCGTCACCCAGATGTGGGCCATTCAGGTAAGATGTTCTTATCTTTTAACATTTCCTTTAACCCCCTAGATGCCGAGGGTCTTTTTCTGACTCACATTTCCATAAGATCTGAAAAGTGAACGTTGCCAGAGATTACCTACAGTTAAGATCCGTGAAGATCAGGGCCTAGATTTTCGAAGCTCTCTTAGCACTAAGATAGTCGTAAGTGCGATACATTAACATTAACTTACGACGATCTTAGCGCTAAGAGAGCTTCGAAAATCTAGGCCCTGGGTTCGAATTAATCTTCAGCAACCCATGCTTGTCCTAAGAGGCGACTAACGGGATCAGGTGGTCAGGCTTGCTGGCTTGGTTGACACATGTCATCGTATCCCAATTGCGTAGATCGATGCTCATGCTGTTGATCACTGGATTGTCTGGTCCAGACTCGATTATTTACAGACCGCCGCCATATAGCTAGAATATTGCTGAGTGCGACGTAAAACTCAACTCACTCACTCACCTACAGCTATAAAGTTACACGGGAATATTTTTTTTAATTTTCCTATCCGAAGGTGTAAACTCAATTAGGCGGTTTGAGTAAATAGAAACTGTTAAGTGTTGTCCGATATTGTGTCATAAAGGAGAGCGGAAGGTCGCGGGTTCGATCCCCGACCGCGTCATACCAAAAGACGTTAAAATATGGTACTTGTTGGTCCCTGCCTGGCGCTCGGCATTAATGGGTACAACAAGGACTGGTCGGCTCGGAGTCAGTATAATGTGTCTGAGTGGGATATTCATGCTTCACTGCGGCCTGGTATCTCAGTGAGCTAGCACTATGAAACCAGCTTAAGTCTGGGCTAGTACAAGCAGCCGCACATACACATACACATACACACGCATGCACGTCTTCATATGAGCGAAATATTCTCAAGTACGACGTTAAACCCAATTTCACCTCACCTCACCTCATCCGTTAAAAAACAGTAAATTTCTCCGCTTTTTACATTTTAAAACACACACCAAATAACGCTAGCTGTGAATCGGGATTTCCTTATGTACCTACGTTGAAACATCATTTTCAGCACTTTTGCTTTGTCTTAGATGATAGTGGATGGTATTCGAAACAGGACATTTCCCGCTAAATTCAAAACTGTTAAGTGTATTTGTGTGGGTGATATATTTTGAATTTTATTTGACTTCAAAGTGAAAGTTGAAGAGGAGGGACATCTAAGACCCTCTGGCATCCACGGGGTTTACCATAATTTACTTGGAATATTGCTGCGTGTGACGTAAACAACGATGAAACAAACAACCCTGGATTTCCCTTGTAAGAACAGGGCCTAATTTTCTTACTCCTATCATCATGGTTTCGAATCGCACTTCGCCCAGAATAGGATTAAAGATTTTGCAGCGGTAGACTTCAGGCTCATGAGTTTCACAGAACTGGTAAAGGTTTGAGTCACCTCGCTACTTAAATACATCACTTCTTATTTCACGAAGTGGGTATTCAGATATTGAAATGGGCAGTGTCGACAATCACCCATGCCCCAACTATGCCGTTCGAATGTATACGTCAGGATGACGTCATGTTATAATGACAGGCGTATGACGTCATCAACTCTGTGCTTAGCGACTTTCGGTTGTTTTACATGGAGGACATACTGTGATAGGTGATAGAAACCGATGGATTTTTCACAGCAGAGGTAGGGTTGGATGTACGAAAACACCTCTTACCAGAAGTCGCAATTTAGCCAGCCCAGGTGAGAGACTCCTTACATAAATGTTGAAAATTGTAAAAGTGAACGCATACAGATGTTTGATATTGATGCCAAGTATGTAAATGCCAGTGCTAAATACACGATGATATATCCCAGCGAACAGACTAACGCTTTGACATAAACAAATAATTCCTTTTAAAATGAAAAGGGGTCGCAATGGGATGGGAGATTAGGAGCCTGTGGAAATCTAGACGTGCTTCATTGTGTGGTAGGAAGGGAAAATAATACGGTTCAGGGACAGAGACAGAAATGGCTCTCAACAATGTGGGGCATATGCATTTAGTTTTGTAATTCAGTTAATTGAGAGAATACTTGGAAAAAAAATCGGAAACTCTTGCGATATAACGGATACCTGTCGGCAGACTTGTTTGGTGCTTTAGGCGCACTTTTTCTCCCTTTATTTAGGAGATAACAGACCCGTGAAGATCTGGATTAGAATTGATCTTTAGTAACCCATGCTTGTAGGAGGCGACTAACGGGATCGGTGGTGAGGCTCGCTGACACAGATCAATGCTGATGTTTTTGATCACTGGATTGTCTGGTCCAGACTCTATTATTTACAGACTGCCGCCGTATAGCTGGAATTTGCGGAGTGCGGCGTAAGACTAAACTCACTCACTCAACATAACAAATCACCGTCAATGTGGAAAACCGAAGATCTGTAATGGTATGCAACAACCACAAAGGAAGGTTCTCCTGCATATTCCCAACTAAACTCTGGGAATGTGTCCAGTAAATGTACTCATCAAACACGCACGCACGCGTGTACGTTGGTACATACATACATACAGTCATGGGACATAAGTATTCGTCAGTCGGCAAAATTCTCATAGACTTGCATGTTATTTTAGTGTAACCGTAATAATTTTTCATTAAGTTTTCGTCATTTGGTTGTCAAAGTTTGCAGGTAGTTAAGAAATCATCTTGGTCACAGATACGTAATTTCAATGTAATGTTCCTTCATTTATTTTCTTTCCGCATTGTAGTTACATGAGCAACATATATACATCATTGTGTATTCTTTCCCCACTGGCCGCCATGTTAAAACTTGTTATAACCATGACACGCATCAATCAAAGTGTGGTCATTCTTGAAATACTGAATGTAAAATATAACGGAAATTATGTCTTTGCAGCTGAGATGATTCATGACACATGTGCAAAATATGAACAAGATCAAACGAAAAGTAAATTCAAGACAATTTTTCTAGCTGCACCAAATTAACATGCAAGTCTATTGAAATTATGCACAGTGACGGATACTTATGTCCAATGACTATGTGTTTTGTAATAAATTATTTAGCAAATAGTACATGCATGAAACGGGTCAGAAAAAGACATGCATGTTTCCTTGTCATTCATGATAATTGATCAGATTGTTACGGTAACGGACGTTGATGTTTCAGTGGTCAAAGCACGATGTACCAAGTCCTGGGGGACGCCATGCAGAGCGGGCTACCGCCAGCCGTCAACTCTATCCTGGAATACGCCGCCTCCCCTGGCGTCATCATCCCCGTCTTCCTCCTGCTGCTGTGAGAACCGACTATATATTTTACTTATCCCAATAAGAGGCTTGGGAGGCGAATTACGGATTGGGTGGTCAGACTGCCGACGTTTTGGAGCATGTCATCGTATTCCAGTTGCTTAGATCTATGTTCATAGCGTCAATCAACCCTTGAAGATCTGGGTTCGAATTGGTCCTCAGAAACCCATGCTTGTAAGATGCGACTAACGGGATCGGGTGGTCAGGCTCGCTACTTGGTTAACACGTCATCGTATCTCCATTGAGTAGATCGATGCTCATGCCGTTGATTGGATTGTCTGGTTCAGATTCGATTATTTACAGACCTCCCTCATACAACCGAGTGTGGCGTAAACAACGAAACCAAACATCAGAGCGTCAATCACAGGATCGTCTAGTCCAATACTTACAGACCGCCCTCATGTGGCTGGAATATTGCTGATTGCGACTTGAAACAATCAAATCAAGAAGTCCAAACTCCCATTCACCAATCTGAAAAATCATATTGAATACATCCCGGATCTATTCGTGTATTTTGTCTGTAGGCAGCGTTATAAGTTATGGACATAAAGTTCACCCCTTTACACTGTTCCTTTCTCCACTTAACCCCTTGCTGGAGCTGCAATAACACTGAACTCTTTTTTTTTCCTGTCTAGGTGCCCCTTTCCACACATACTGATGCTTCTTTGGTGTTGCTAATAACTGATGATACATTTTGTTGTTATACGAGTTCATAATTGAAGATGCTACTTGCCATAAATATAAACTGTTTAGTCCAGGCAGTACATATGTTGTGAGTAGTTATCCCCCCTTTACAGGATGACGATATACTACCTGGTGTCTGTGGGACGGTCCCTCAGGGAGTCGAACAACGACCTGCGCATGCAGTTGGAATATGTGAGTAGATACATGCATTGGTTTATCTTGATCATTTTAATGTATTATTGAGGGACTGGAGGGGATGGATAGCCCAGTCATAAAAGCGTACGCTCTTCTCGTGAGAAACCCAGTTTGAATCCCCAGGCCTACCTTTAGAATACTGGGCCCGGTTGTTCAATACTCGGTTATCTTAACCGCCGGTTAACTCCTAACGGCCGGTTAAATCCTTAACCGGCCGTTAGGTAACCGAACGTTAAATATGCGTTGTTCAAAACATGGTTAGTCATGCCGTTAGCTAACGTCGCCGTCAAAGTTTAATAGTGTGGTTAACGTCACTGGTTAGCTTTCATATATCCCACAATTCCGTTTTCTGTTTACTTCCGGATTACCAAAAATGGAATCGCGAAATGTCGCCTGCACCCCAAGGAAAAAGAGAAGTCGAAATTTCTCTGCTGACGATGAGAATGTAATCCAGTCAATGGTTGAGACCAACTCTATAGTTTATCATAGGCATGCGAATGTCGTAGCGCTACGAACGCTTGTATTGGAACACAAGGTTCCAGACGTTTGCATATATATTTCAAAGACATATGATCCCAGCTCTGTGTGGGACTTACTTCAATTCCGACAACAGAAAAGACATTTTAATGAGAAACTATAGCACAGCTATAGATAAAATATGATGAATCCATGAAAATACATGTAATATTAATAGTAGAAGCATGTTTTCAGTGGATAGAATATTTACAAGTATTACACACAGGAGTTACGCTTAGACGGCTACAGTCTTAATGAATCTTTGAATTCCCACAAGACCTATCGCTCACTTTTCACTCCTTAAATTGTCATGACTGTATGGCAAAGTCATTAAGATGCTATCAATATCATATGTATGAACACACATTGCCAAATCTTTTAACATCAAACAATATAGATGTTGTGACAATAATACCATTAGCTTTTTATCTCAAGTATGCATTCAATGCCAATAGAAACTTAATATTTTACTAGCACCACGTGCAAGTAATCAAACTGTAATTGTACTATAGGCCCCAGGGCCAACACTGCTGAATAAAATCGATTTATTATTCGACCTTACTGTTGACAGGAATCTCATGAATAAAACTGTGCAATATCGCCATTATCTGAACGCCTTCGCAGACGCATATTCCGGAAAGATGTCTTGAAAAACATGAAGCTGCGTCTAATGTATAGATGAACATAATTTCCTCGATACTCATTAATCAGATGAACCTTCATTTATTTCAATTCACAAGTGACTGCAGAAAATGCATAATTCTTTTTAATGACTTCAAGGTCGGAAAACATGTATCATATTTCATAAGTGTATTATAGAACGCTGTAATAGATGAACATAATTTCCTCGATACTCACTGATCAGATGAACCTCCATTTAGTTCAATTCACAAGTGACTATAGAAAATGCATAGATAGTTCTTTTCAATGTCTTCAAGGACGGAAAACATGTATTAAATTTCATAAGTGTATTATAGAACGCTGCAACGATTCGGCAGAGAAATACTATTGTACCATTGTATTCCTTATATAAAATACATCAGTGTATAACATTAGCATTCAGATATTGTTATAAAATAAGTTTAAAATTCCAAACATTATCGTGTAAAATGACAAGAGATAGTGTTGTGTTCGCTGTGACAAAAAGGTTTCGATATTCAAATATAACATTTAATCAAACTGACTACGAAGTAGGCCTGCATATCACTCACAACTCACAACGTTTCGCGAAGGCCGGTATTGAGTTGCCAATTACATCACATATATCTCATATTCAGCGGCGACAAATGCATCACTGAATTCTAAGGCTGGGACGGGTACTACGGTACTCGAATCCGGGTCGGGTACAGCTGGAATCGAGTCCTATTTCTAGGAGCTCTGTAATGACAAGGGCAGACAATAGCTTGTCTTTTTCGTTTTTGACGTAACACACATTTACATCAATGAGTGAGTGAGTTTAGTTTTACGCCACACTCAGCAATATTCCAGCTATATGGCGGCGGTCTGTAAATAATCGAGTCTGGACGAGACAATCCAGTGATCAACAACATGAGCATCGATGTGTGCTATTGGGATACGATGACATGTGTCAACCAAGTCAGCGAGTTTGACCACCCGATCCCGTTAGTCGCCTCTTACGACAAGCATGCAGAGGTACAGATAAGCTGCGTATCTGCGTAAATTACGCAAATATTTATGTGAAAACTCAATTCCTATTGAGTCTATTGCGTACAAGTACGCTTGAATTTTTGTAAATACTCAATAAATGTGATCTTACACGCGTACACACAAAAATGTCAAATCTTAATATGCGTACCGGTGGATAGATACTATAACTGAGGTATACTGAGAGGTTCTATTTCAGGATATGAACTTGACAACTTGCAGTTTTTCTTATCGCTTCTCATATTACAGATCAAATATAAATAAAAACACTCAAATTTAAACTTTATTATATTTTTAAATTATTGGAAAATGGCAAAATACCCAATTGAGTTTGAGTGAGATGAGTACAAGGTATTTGGTTACTCAAAGGAAAATTAGGATACCCAATTGAGATGAACACAAGCGAGTACATAACTCAATGACCCAAAAGTTATCTGTAGCTCTGGCATGGGTTACTGAAGATCAATATTCTAACCCGGAAATTCACGGGTTTTACATCACTGGTATTGTCCGATTAATGGAGCATAGTTTTAATGACTGTAATTTATCTGTGCATGGAATCAAATAGGGCTTCAACGAGTCCATTTTTGTGGACTCGAGTACTTTATACTGAGGGATGAGACTCGACTCGGACCCGAGTACTCGAAAAATTCATACCTTTCAAGCAAACGATAGCGTAAATTGCATGACGTGTTCCGATCACACAAGTGAACACTTACTTCTTTCCGACTTCATATCGTCATGTGACTAACATTTCCTATTGGTCAGAATCAATATTTGGATGTTTACTTGACAAATGTTTTGTTCTTCGTACTTCTTGTACTGCCTGCAAAACGCAGTGATATACTGCACATGCGGCATTTTGGTTATTTTGCTCTTTTCTCTATCCAGATCAAGATATGCCCATACATATGATTTTTTATCTTCTCGATTATTTACAGACCGCCGCCATATAGCTGGAATATTGCTGAGTGCGGCGTAAAACTCAACTCACTCACTCACTCTCCATGTCTATCAATTGTCAAGATAGTTACCTAATCATTTTAAGAAGTGAAATCTCAAACGATGTATAATAATTACTCTCATCTGCAGACTTGTAACAACTAATACCATACAGCCACACCCTGTGAGGAGTAAGCTATTTAATCTAGGTGTTAATAAAAACATTATCAGATGGATTAAAAATTCAGGGTACATAGCACTCAGTATGTCAGTGTCAGTGGCTATCAATCTTCTTTGCTCTCAACCTCTACTGGAGATCCACATGGCTGTGTTCCTTCATCCGTACTCTTCATTTTGTATACCAATGACTTTTACTTGTCAATTTATGACTTGTTCACTGTGAAATTTGCAGATGACGCCACTGTTACTGGCCTAATTTCTGATTCTGAACATTATTATCGTCAAGACATTGACAAAACCGTAATGACAGTTTTTTATCAAACCTTTATTCAAAGTGTGTTGACCTACAATTTTCTATGTTGGTATGGGGATGTGTCTCATCGCAACAAAACCAAACTTTTCAAAATTGTTAATACTGCTTGCAAAATTTCTGGAGTGTCTTTCGAGTATATTCCCTTTATCTATGAGCGCCAGATTGTCAAAAAGGCAGCTAAAATTAGATTTGATAGTTGATATATTTGATCTCACCATTTTGAACTACTTCCTTCTGGACGCTGCTGTCGATTACCTTCCCTCAAAACAAACAGAGCTAGACAGTCTTTCATACCATCAAGTATTCGTGAATACAACAAATATTTTGAATCACACCATCATGTGATTAGAACTAGAATTATTCAGCCTCTTTACCTATGTGGTTAATTGAATTATATCATGTCAGATTTATTTGTAAATAGCATTCGTTTTGAGCATGTTATTGTGTATATTTTTGTGAACTGTGTATATATTCATTTTGAGACAGTTTGGATGTATAAGAATTTCCTCCGGGATAATAAAGTTATATCTTATCTTAATATTAGACGTTAACGGCCGCTCGTGCTTAGCACATGGCAGACAGTCTGTCAACGTCAAATAATTCGAGTTATCTCCCCTTTTCGAGTCCTCGAGTCCTTGAAAATGGACTCGAGTCCAGCTGAACCCGACTCGTCCTCGAGTACTCGAGTACCCGTGGAAGCCCTATTAAAAACATGTAACAATACACAGATAGTCAGAATCATTCTGATTACTTACATCTCATATTTATGTACAAACGATGCCTGAATCAAGGGAAGGGTCCTCGCAAAACCCATGTCAGCCGCCATTTTTTAAGAAATATCAACGGTAGTGATGTCATACGTCAACATTGTTGTACATATTTGGCAATTTCTCTGAGGTGAAGGTCGGTAGAATAAGAGTATACTCAATCACCATATCCCGCCGATTACACTTTCAGTATCATAATGTAATCATTCGGATATTTTTTCATGAAACTATAATTATCTACATTTAGTCTTGTTCAATATCATGTCATACGTGGGTATAGGGTGTACGGGTTTGATTCTTTGAAAGTGTTTGTTTGAATAATATTTACAGAAGAAATTCACACATTTAGTGTAGTAAAACATATATAAACCTTTACACAAGTGTTAAAAGATGAAACGTAGGCATCATGTTCTTGTACAACATGTATTTTAGTTCCTATGAAGTGCATAGTTACAGTTTCGTATGTAACTCTTCGTCAGAATAATTTCCAGTGTCGAAATCCAGTCCACGATACACCCTATTCTTTCTTTGCTGAACTGGCCTCATGAAAGCAGTGTTAGCCATGAACGCCATTTGCGAGTTAACCACACTGTTAAAAAGTTAGCGGCGGTCCTTAGGTGTGTTAACTTAACGTCACGTTAACAGCCTGTTAAAAGTTAACAGAGTTTTGAACAACAAGATAACCCTCTGTTATTAGGTAACGGTCGGTTAAATGTACTTAACGGCTGGTTAAAAGATAACCGAGTTTTGAACAACCGGGCCCTGCACCACAAACTTTAAAAATACGTCATAATACCCTTTTACGTAATGTAATGTGATTTTGTTCGAAAGCACGTTCTCGAAACAATGCCCTATGACGCCTGCATGGTAACACGGTTGTCTGGCTCAGCGAGTGCGTATAAGCTCCGCTCACTGGTGTTTCATCTCTACGATGTTAAGCCCATTTCTGGTGTCCCCCGCCGTGATATTGCTGGAATATTGCTAAAAGCGGCGTAAAACTAAACTCAGTCAGTCATCTCTACGAGCTATGTTATTGCATAAGCCCAACGATGTTGAGAGTTTCCAGTAGTTGTATACCGGCGGATGCGCAATATTTTGCAAGCACCAGTTTGAAATATTTTTCTTTTTTCACTAATACGCTCATATTTATTTGTATTACGGGCTGCTGAGGTGTTATGTTTTGTGTATTTTGTAATTTTTAAAATTTACATATATAGTTTTGTCATTCAGTAATTTGCACCATTACATAGAAAAGTGTTTTATTAGTATTTTATTTTTCGAAGCGGTAATAATGCATTACACTAGACACGTCAGTCGTGTTTGTGCCGGTTCGGTCAATGCATTCTATTTATTAGGATTAATCCAAGGCATTAGGGTTAGGGTTAGGGCTAGGACTAGGGTTAGGGTTAGGATTAATTCAAGGGATTAGGGTTAGGGTTGGGGTTTGGGACCTAATGCAATATAGTAGGTACATGTCCGGTGGTTCGGTCAATGCATTCTATTTATTAGGATTATTTCAAAGGGTTAGGGTTAGGGTTTAGGGTTTAAGGTTAGGCACCTAATCCAATATAGTAGGTACATGTCCGGTGTAATACGTGAGTACCATTTGTTGTTTTTCCTTTTTGCATTTTAATACTCTTTTTTCACACAAAAACGGGAAACCAAAAACGTCGAAAGTACATAATGAAATGGGTTAATGTAGAAATTTTGGGCTAATGGAAATTGGCCTGGAATTTGCAGCATTCAAGCCTCTTTCACACGCAACATAAAATTTTGTTCAGTAATGATTCGAAGGCTTACTCACCCTCGTGCCGTCACTACACATGCTCATGTCTCCCTCGTTCCTTAGTGCGATCCACATTATCCTTAGTTTTCTCTACATCACTTTTCTGTCACGAAAACACCGATTTATATAAAAGCGCGTCATTCATGCATGCCCCGTGAAATCTACGTCTGACGCCTGACGTCAACAACCCTTTCAGTTTGAGGCATATCGGCTCATTCCACGCCACACGTTAATTTGTAGATTACGGAATGGGACGAGTGTGCCAAATGGCATCGGATACATTCGGCAATTGTCCGTAGAATAAAATCACGAGACACCAAGTCTACCCGTAGCATTCGTAATTGTCTGTGAACTATTCGACTCTTTCCGTTCATTTCCGTGACGTCACAGGAATGACTTGATAAATTCGCACATTGAGCAACAGTGTGGACGTAGCTCAGTCGGTTAGCTGTCGAGCTAACAATCCGAAGGTCGCGGGTTCGCGTCCGACGGGTTCTCACAAACTGGTTGCTTGTCTTAATGACACGTGACCTACGGCAGAGATCGTCCTCACGAGAAGTTGTGGTGCTGTATTCTAAAGGTGCTCCATATTTAAAACACAACTTAGAAACTCTACACGTAAATGTTCCAAGCCACAAGGATTACAAACAAAACTCAACAGTCATTTAAGTCATTGCGTTAACAGATGGGAATTTCATATCTTTGAATTTATGCTGTGAACAGTTTCCAAAATTGTGTTTCAGGAAAGGACGGAAGGTAGAAGGAAAGTCTACGCTATGGCAGATGGTAAGCAGTGTTTCCATACACACGTTGCATAATCTAAATCTATTATCCATATGGTGAAACATAACCAGTGTCATATATATCGTGCACATATTTCGTCGTCTGTGACGTCACTTAAACAATTGAACGTGAAGTCATTGAACAGTGCAGTCACTTGCTTACCGTATTTACTGCACAAATGTTCATGAATAAAATGGATAATAAAGAAATTATTACACTCGCAAGTGTGCCACACGACTTATACGAAACTCGTGCAAAATTATGTATTGCCCTCGCTCTTGCAATACAAAATTTCACATAAGTCGTATGACACACTTGCTCATGTAATAATCTCTATTTTTTACGACCGTTATTAAGCTGAAATATACAGTGGCCACTTTTGCATCCTCTCACACAACCCTTTTCTCCCAGCCGGGGGCGGTGGGGCAGCCTAGTGGTTAAAGCGTTCGCTCATCGCTGAAGACAGGTTTGATTCCCTACATGGGTAAAATGTGTGAAGCCCTTTTCTGGTGTCCCCCGCCGTGATATTGCTAAAAGCGGCGTAAAACTAAACTCACTCACTCTTCTCCCAGCTGAGCAGATGGCAGGAAACTGGGCAATGATAACTTTTGCATGTTGTTGTTCCAGCAAAACGTGGCACTGAGGGTGATGGATTAATTCAGAGGAAAGGACCAGCAGTGGCTCCAAAACCTAAGGCCAAGAAGAAGGACATGACGAATGCAGGTACGCCACCGGTTCTGGTGAAACAGTATCTTTCCATTTGGGTACTCTTGTGGCAATTGTCATATCAAAGAATTTCTGATATTCAATAATGAAAAACAAATCTTGACAAACATTTTGGAAGGTGTGTAGCTATAAACTAAGAAATAACAGTCTTGATGAGGAGCTTTCGTTTGCTTTTTCTAACGTTACACCAACTACTATGAACTGCCATGGATTGAGCATCTCTGACAGGACAAACACTAACATCTGTTGCTCTCTTTCAGTATCATCAGTACTGACAGCAGCTCGGTTGGCCAAGATGATGTCAGGAGGTGCCGATCCCCCCAAGGTGATCACTGCATCTCCATCCCCAGACCGACACAAGATCCCTGTTGCAGTAGTTCACGGGAAGAGGTCGGTGAAAGAGAGGGCCATCAAAGAGAAACTTGTCAGGTACATTAGTCATTCTACCAGTGGTATGCTACTCCTACAAAAGGTAAAGGGCACGATTCTTTCATCTGTCACATCAACAAAAGCAACATGAAACAACTGAGTTGTCCTTGTCATTTGTTTGGCAGCAATTTAATTCTTTCTAAACATCCCCCTGTATAAACTGAAATGGGTTAAGAATGTCTCATATACTTAAACCTAGAAGTCAATAACGCTAAATCAAAAGCACATAATCAGACTGCTCAGGGCCTCCTTTTACAAAGCAGTAAGGTGATCGTAAGTCACTAAGGTAACCTTAGTGCAATGTTAAAGAATGGGAGTTAAGGTTACCCTTAGTAAAGGCTCTTCGTGAAAGGAGCTCCAGATCTTTACAGTGAATCAGATTCTTTTACGACTTCAGGGACACTGTCCGTAGCCAGAAGCGGCAACTGGCCAAGTATAATCGAGGCTATGACCCAGCAGGTGACGATGAAGAGACTCAACGATCACAGGGTGATCTGACAAATGGGGTGCTAAAGGCTCTTGTAACCAAATCAAAGAAAAAACGGCCACAAGGAAGGACACCCACCACGAACACAGTGCAACAAAACATAGAAGTTGACGAATCATCTGATGACCCAGAGGTTAGTCCAAGATCACTGCAAGAAAGCAGGACGAAATCTGATGAGAAATTAGTTCCCAATAGGAAACACAGCAAGAACATCCTTGCTCAGCCCAAGGAGAGACGATCAAGAAGCTCCAGCAAGGAAGGCCGTGAAAGGAAGAGCAGAAGCAACACCTCTATTGCGATTGTCAATGAAACTGTGCAGGCAGAGGTCAACATGTGTCCACCTAGCAATGTGAAAAAGACCTCATCTAAAACTAATACGAGGCAGTCCAGATCTCAGGACAATATAAAGCCAGCAAGATCTAGAGATAATGTGAAACTGTCGAATTCTAGGAACAATTTGAGTTCAAAAAGGAGTGAGACAAAAGCCATTCCGAAGATTACAGTTGAGGACTGTAGTGATGACAATACTAATAGTAAAAGGTTAGCTGGGCAAGACAGTTCCGATTCGGAAAGCTCCAGCAGTAGTGAGGACAACAGTATCAACCAGGACAATCTCAATCTCTCTTTTGCCTCCGAGAATATGTCGGATAGCAGATCTTCAGAGATTGACACATCTAAGCAGAAATTTGCAAGCCTTCTGTCATTTTTCAAAGAGTCTGAAAGTGATGGCGGTAGCTCAGACGACCAAAACAGTCCTGATGCCATAGCAGCCCGAAATAGGTTTGCATCCGCTTTTGCTCGGTTCACTAAGAAGTAGAAGCAACTCTCTCTGAACTATGAAATAGGGCAAACAAACAAATTATGGAGTAACTCCATTATGGGTTTCATAAAAAACAATATGTCACATGTGAAATTCAAAGGCTGCTATGTAAAGAGACTTTCTGGCATGTCAGCCAATAAAATGTACACTACTCATTCATGTCTTATGGTGTATAAACATATAATTTCATGTTAAAATGGAACCAATGGTGCTTTATCAGCACCCGCAAGGATTGATGAATAAAATGACTTGAGTGTGTTTTATCAATCAGAGAATCCTGAGTAATGTATTTTTGTGTGCAATGTTTGAAAGCATGGCTCTCATTGGTTACTAGAATGTCCCTGTCACTAGTGTATTGATGATCTTTTTCTTAGTGAAAGTTTATGTATGTACGTGAAGCGTAAAAACCACAATTCACAACTCATTTGCTATGGTCCCAACTGTTGTAGTGGAAAATATCAACAAAAACAACAATGTACATGTAAGCTGTTTAATGACTGTACAATAAATAACAATAACCACCAGACAATAACAGTACATAGCTAGCCAGCCTGGTGAAGGTTCCACCTGAAACAAGGAGCAGACTATTGTGAACATTTCATACAGCAGCTTCGTTACAAAACAAGGGACTTCCAAGCCAACGAGCAACTTACATTCATTTCTTCTCTTTCTCCTCACGTTTCTTGGCTGCAGTTGCTTTCGCCTGGAAAAACCCCAGAAAATACTTGAATTTGGGGGGACCAAATAGCGAGTTGTTTAACGCTGCTTTCAGCAATTTTTCAGCTGTATAATAGCTTTTATCCAGACAATCAAGTGATTGACATATGTATCAATCTACGTAATTTCAATACAATGACCTGCATCGACCATGTCCGCAAGCCTACCATCCAATCCTATTGGTTGCTGAAGAGCCATTCTACATCTTCATGAGTTAGATCAAACAGTAAGGCAAATGTGTTTTTGAAATGACATTTTCAGAATGATGCCCCAATCAGCAGAATTCCCACTGAACCTTGGACAAAAAGACATTAATGTTCCATGACTAGAAGTAAACATTTGCAAGGTGTGCTTCACACACATATCTCCAGGTTAGAATATTGATCTTCAGTAACCCATGCTTGTCGCAAGAGGCGACTAACGGGATCGGGTGGTCAGGCTCGCCGACTTGTCACTGGTTCCCAATTACGCAGATCGATGCTCATGCTGTTGATCACTGGATTGTCTGACACACACACACACATCCATCCCCTTGCTGGGAATCAAACCCTTCAGCACAACAATCTACCCATCACACCCTGCTACTGACCTGTTCTACCAGAGGAAGAAGCTTCTCTTCTTTTGCAAGTATTTTCAACAATTCCATAATGAATGGTAGGTAGTTGTGCCTCCTTCGAATGTTTTCAACCTGAAAAGAAATGAGACATGTAAAACTTGAAATCAATGCTATTGTACTTCAGGTCCTGTGAGAAATGTCACCCCCCGATTTGATACATACAAAGAAAAGTGACACTTCAGAGAAATGTATGATGAGAATACAGGATTTGATATGTTGAATCGTGTCTTTTTTGTCTTGAGATTTTTTCCATTATTGGATTCTTTTTACGTTGTTTATCCACTAATTAAACACAGCTTCAAACAACACATAAACATGGAATTAGGTTGGCTTAGAATGTTGTAAGTGCTTGTTTTTGTAACTGTTAAGAAATTATATCTGACAATTATACAAACGAGTCAAAAACAGCTGGACTGACAATAACTGTCATATGTTATGCCTAAAGATGACTGAGGTTGTTTTTCGAGGCCAATGTCTCCATGGATGTCCCATGTTAGCCTGCTCTATTGACCTCCACTGATGGCCTACCTTGTATCTCTTCATCTTCATTTCTTCCTCCTGGATGAGGACTGTGAGTTGGGTCAGCTCCGACTGAATATCATCAGTGACCATGCCGCGCCACTCTACAACATTGTCATCACAGTTACTACACACTCCCACTTGTCATACATTCATGGAAATTAAGTAGGGTCCTTCAGGTATGCTCACACAGGAACTTTACATTTAACATTCTTAACAAGAACTAGAATAGTGTGCATTAAATTCAAACTTGTTCTAATTTTAAGATAGTCATAGAATGTTCTTTTTATGTGAAATTTACACTGATCACATCCCCCACAAAATTGGATTTCACACATTCTTTATGACACAATTCTAGCACAGGCATCAAAACTGAAACATCAACTTTCCTGTGGAACCTGAACAATACAAAAGCACTTTTAATGAGTACATTTACAATGTATTTAATATTCTAAGATGCCTAGCGGTTAGAACAATCGAAAAAAACAAACATTATCAGACAATAAAGGTATAGTTTTTTGATGACGTAACAATTGAATGACGCTATCCCGTCACTGCGCCATTCTAGTGTGCCCCCTCGTAATCGAACCATTTTACATTATGTCACAATGTAAGCGACGTCACGATGCATGTCAGTTGTCATCGCCTCGTACGGCCTCCTACAGTAAACTACACCGTTGCATCCAGTTTCTTGGTTTGCTGTTGCTTCACGCAGCTTACATCACTGGTGGAAACATTACGTTTATGTTTTACGACTGTTAAAATGTCTCATTTCGACTCACAAGTTTTCAGCGACACGGTAGCGTTAAGTAATGTGTACATTCCCACAATGCAATTGTGGAATGTAAACTTGACTACTCAACTTCCTCTGGATGTACTGATCTAAACTTATGCTGGTAGTAGAAATGCAGCGTTCATATTGCCCCATATGGTTTACGTTAATGACAGATGTAATTAAAATAATTCAAAGAAGATATTTAATCCGAGCGTAAACCGTCATCAAACTGTTATCATTTGTTTTTCTGGTAGCGTTAGATCTTAACGTAGGGGCAGACACATCAATAGAACAGCGTACCAGTTAGCCCTGTGCCAGGATTCTTAATTTAGGTCACCGACACCGTCGTTTGTTTTCTGCCTTAAATTAATCGTAATTATCTTTAGAAAGTATTAAATTTGGCATCTTAGAAAAGAAATACAGTTAAGCCCTACCACCATGTATAGTGTAATAAAACACACTTTAAGCCTGAACTATTATAGCGTTAAAGCGCTCGGACGCAAAGCGTCCTCGTGCTTTAACTATAATAGTTCAGGGCAAAAGTGTGTTTTATTACACTATACATGGTGGTAGAGCGAAGTGTATTTCTTAAACCAAGAGTGACAGCAACACCATAATAATCCCACTACCACCAATCCCAGCACAAAAAATGAAGGAATGCAGCTATGAATCGGCTTTAACACCTATTCAATGCTTCTATTTTCATGACCAGTCAATTCAACATGGATAACAGCACATCTCCACATATTCCATAGTGATTGGAATCTCTCTTAATGGCGTCAGTCTACAACCTACAGCTCAACCCTCATGATACAAAGGCATCCATTTAATCTAAGTACCAGTGTACAATTGACTGTAACAAGAATCTCGATATCTGCCCTTTAATCCCAAGTTTAGTGACATTTCTACTTTGTGTAAAGCGAAGTTTGAATGTTTACAACCGACATTATATTACCTCGATTCCTATTTTCACAAACACCCCCACCCCTGCATTCTTACTTTACCAGTTATACTGTTACATGATGATTGAAATGAAAATTAAAAAAGAACTGAGCCGACTTGTTTGAAATACACCTGTCATAGGTGGATCCAGAGTGGGTGTGAAGGGTGCGCACACACCCTTTTGTCCCGAAAGTTTATTAAATGACCATTGAAACTCTCGTGAAAATGAAGTGTGCACCCCCACCCCCCCAAAGAGTGTGCAAAAAAAACAAGCCTTCCTTCTCAAGAGTGTGCACCCCCCTTTCTCGAAAAGCTGTATCTGCCCCTGCCTGTCAGTCGGCTTTGAGCACTGTTGTGGTTGGGAAGGTGCAGAGCGCTCCACAAACAAGACATTGCCGTGAGAAACACATATGAGGGGAGACAACTCACAGACGAGCAGAGTGTGGGAAGTACACAGTGTTACTGAGGTGAAAGACAAATACTGGGGACCTATTGTTCATGTAAATCAGCATGACCACACTTCTATACACTTCAAGATGATCACCTCCATCTTATTTGAGAGTTCCTTCAGCTTTTCTCATACATCATCTTCTTGTCAGACACAACCGCCATCAAGTTGAAGTGGATTTCATCTGTGCTGTATCTGATAAAAGAAACGTTGGTGAGTGTGGTTTTATGTAGCTTTTAACACTATTCCGGCAATATCACATTTGGGGACATCACAAGTGAGTTTCAAAGTTTGTGCCCAACTAAATCTGATATGACATGCAATTGTCAATGGAACTTCTACCAGACAGTGATCGTTAACCCTCAAATATACAGACCCAATAACACTAGATGATTTCCGGCATACACCAGAGAATGGAAACACTGGGTCATATGTCATCTTCATGGCAGGGATCACCATAAATGGGTACAATGGAACCAATATTTACAGAAAGAGGAAATGGTTTTTTTCAGAGAAAAAGGTCAGAATATGTCAGCTGCTCATCTCCCCTACAAACCACACAAATCACGTATATTGCAACAGATCCAAATTACTGAATTGGGTGATATTTCTGAACAAACCATCCATTTAAAAATAATTCCGGAATGTGACAAGTGACAAGTTTTATTTGCATTTGAGGCCATAGTGCTAAGATACAACAATCATCATACAGTGTGCAGGATACATTCATATACAATGTAAGACCACTTAACATCAGAGGCCCAGATAAGCTGCGTATCCGGGTAAAATACGCATAGAAAATTTCAAAATATGCATTGAAAAATCATTCTTGCGTACCAATTACGCATTTAAAATGTTACATACGCAAAAAGTTAAAAACAAATGCGTACGGAATATATTTATAAAAATCGCTTGCGTTATGAAAAAGACATCGATTGCTATCAAGTTGTACTGTTAGTATAGGACAAGTGTTGTACTGTCAGTATAGGATGAGTGATTTTTTATGAAATCATTTCCATTATATACTCATGCCAATAATGGTTGTCACCCCCTTCA